GCCCGTAGGGGACACTCCGTCGCCGTCGCCTCGATCAGGTCATAATCAAAGGAATATGCTGGAGATGACCTTATTGGCGGGGGGGGGGGGTCATGGGAGGGGGGGAGGGGGAGGGGGATAGGAGGGAGGGGGGAGGGTGGGAGGGTGATAGGAATGGGTGGAGGATGTTGTTGAGGGGTGGTGTGTGATTGGGCGGTAGTAGGGTAGGGTGGAGGTGGTGGGAGATAGGAGGGAGAGGGAGGGAGGGAGAGGGTGGGTGGGTGGTAGGCAGTCAGTCGGTCGGTCGGTCAGTCATCAGTCAGTCAGTCAGTCAGTAGTCAGTCAGTCAGTCAGTCCAATTTCAAGTCAGTCCAGTCAGTCAGTCAGTCAGTCAGTCAGTCAGTCAGTCAGATCATCCACCCACCCACCCATCCAGTCAATCAAGCATGCAGGCAGGCAGGGAGAGGGCCATCCAGACACACAAAACTAGACAAAGGAAACGACTAAACAGACAGCCAATCAGAAACGCAGAAGGCGCGGACAGACAGACTACAGCGCGAGGGAAAGACACGAGTCAACAGGCAGGTCAAAGGTCAGACAAGTAAACAAGTAAACAAGTAAACAAGTAAACAAGCGAACGAGAGCAAGGCACGTGGAGAGAAGCGCAGAACAAAGCATGCATTTTTTTTTTTTTTTTTTTTGAGGGAAGGGGAAGGGGGAAAGGGAGAAGGAGAATTAGGAGGGGGAGGGATAGGGTAGGGAGAAGGGGGTAAAGGGAGGGGGAGGGAAGGGGGAGAGGGAAGGGGGAAGGGTAGGGGTAGGGACCAAGGACAAGGGGAAGGTGAAGGGAAAAGGGGGAAGGAGAAGGAGGAGGGGGGAAGGGGATAGGGTAGGGAGAAGGGGGGGTAAGGGGAACGGGAAGGTGAAGGGAAAGGGGGAGGGGGAGGGGTAGGGACAAGGACAAGGGGAAGGTGAAGGGAAAGGGGAGGGGGAGGGGGGGGGAGGGGGGAGGGGATAGGTGTAGGGAGAAGGTAGAAAGGAGAGAAGGGGAAGGGGGAGGGGATAGGGTAGGGTGAAGGAGTCAAAGGGAGAAGAAGGGAGAAGGAGGGGAAGGGGAGGGTTGGGGGGGGAAGGGGAAGGAGAGGGAGGAGGGGAAGGGGATAGGGTAGGGAGAAGGGAGAAGCGAGAGGAAGGGGGAGGGAGGGGGTGGGGAATAGGGTAGGGAGAAGGGTCAAGGGGAAGGGAGAAGGGAGAGGAGGGGAAGGGGAAAGGGTTTGGGGGGAAGGGGAAGGGAGAGGGAGAGGGGGAGGGGATAGGGTAAGGGAGAAGGAGAGAAGGGGAAGGGGATAGGGTATAGGGAGAAGGATCAAGGGGAAGGAGAAGGGAAGAAGGAGGGGAAGGGGAAAGGGTTGGGGGGGAAGGGGAAGGGGAGGGAGGGGGAGGGGATAGGGTAGGGAGAAGGGGGGAAGGGGAAGGGGAAGGGGGAGGGGAGGGTAGGGGGAAGGGGGAGGGGTAGGGTTAGGGAGAAAGAGGGAGTTGTCGTTATCATATTTTATTAATCATAATTATATGAGTCATCTTCGTTATTATATGAGTCAACATTATAGTCATCATTGAAACTGATATTTAAGCTGGTATTATACTGATGTTAATGCTGGTATTAAGTTGATATTTAAACTGATATTAACCGCAGGACACATGCATTGCCAACTGTGTGTTTAATTTGGTAATAGTTTTCACACATAGATGGCTCCACAAGTACTAAGTCACCAGTGAGGCAACTATGAGTAATACCTGTGTTACCTGTTTACCCCTTTTAATTGATTATAGAAAAAAAAATATTTTCTGGTAATATTGGTGTTGGTAATGCCAATGATGAAAATAACTACATCAGTATTGATAGAATTAGAATTAGAAGAAGAAGAAAAAAAGAAGAAGAAGAAGAAGAAGAAGAAGAAGAAGAAGAAGAAGAAAACGTTTTCCCCTGAAACTCGAGGAAATGTGAAACCGAGTGAGGTCATACGAGGTCACTGACTCCTTTGTGGTTAAGTATTTGCAGAGCCATCAGTGTGCAGAAACACTTCACAAAACCATACTACAGTGAACACAACATTTTCTTGGAGGCATTGGTTTAAAGCTGGTATTGATCTGGTATTGAAACTGATATTAAAACTGGCTGTAAAACTGATATATACTGGCATTAGCACTGATGCTAAATCTGGTATTAAATCTGGCATTAAAACTATTGGTAAGACCCATTAATGATGATGCATAAAAAATATATTATTAGAATGATACTAAAAGTGGTATTAAAACTGGCATTAAAACATTCGAAAAATGGTATGAAAGGTGCCATTAAACTGATGTTAGAACATGTACGAAAACTGGTATTAAAGGTAGCATTAAAACGTGTTAAAACGTGTACGAAAACTGGTATTAAAGGTGGCATTAAAACATGTTAAAACGTGTACGAAAACTGGTATTAAAGGTGGCATTAAAACATGTTAAAATGTACGAAAACTGGTAAAGGTAGCATAACTTTACCGCATTAAACGTGTTAAAACATGTACGAAAACTGGTTAAAGGTGCATTAAAAACGTGTTAAAACATGTACGAAAACTGGTATTAAAGGTGGCATTAAAACGTGTTAAACATGTACGAAAACTGGTATTAAAGGTGGCATTAAAACGTGTTAGAACATGTACGAAAACTAGTATTAAAGGTGGCATTAAAACGTGTTACAACATGTACGAAAACTAGTATTAAAGGTGGCATTAAAACGTGTTACAACATGTACGAAAACTGGTATTAAAGGTAGCATTAAAACGTGTTAAAACATGTACGAAAACTGGTATTAAAGGCGAATTAAAACATGTAAAACTGGTATTAAAGGTGGCATTAAACGTGTTACAACATGTAGGAAAACTGGTATTAAAGGTGGGTGTAAACGCATTAAAACGTGTTAAAACATGTACGAAAACTGGTATTAAAGTGGCATTAAAACGTGTTAAAACATGTACGAAACTAGTATTAAAGGTGGCATTAAAACGTGTTAAAACATTACGAAAACTGGTATTAAAAAGTGGCATTAAAACGTGTGTAGGAAAACTGGTATTAAAGGTGGCATTAAAACGTGTTAAAACATGTACGAAAAATGGTATTAAAACTAAAATACCAATGCTGGTATCACGGGCAGGGCTGAATTCAGGTGTTGGTACTAGACACTGGTAAGTGGTATTGACCGCGGGGATTAGCCGAATGAGGGGGGGGGGTAGGGATGAAGGATTAAGGTAGGGGAGGGAGGGGAGGAAAGGGGAGACTGAATGAGGAAGGGAGGGAGGGTGGGTGGAAGGAGGGAGGGGGAGGAGGGGGGAGGGAAGGAGGGGGATGGGAGTGGGGGAGGAAGGAGGGAGGATGGGAGCGGGGGAGGAAAGATTGAGGGTGAGTGGCGGGAAAGGAGGGAGGTTTTATGGGAGGGTGGATGGGAGGGAAGGATGTAGGGTGGTGGGTGGGAAGGAAGGGGAGATGGAGGATGGGTGGGTGGGAGGAAGGAGTGAGGGAGGGAAGGTGGGTGGGTGGTTAGGTGGGAGGGTAGGAGAGCTTATGGGAGGGTGGGAGGGAAGGATGGATGGATGGATGGATGGAGGGAGGGAAGGGGGGGAGAGAGGGTTCGGCAGGTGAGAGGGAGGGAGGGAGTGAGGAAGGGAGGGTTACGGGAGGGTAGGAGGGTGATTTAGGGAGGGAGAGAGGGTAATCGTCCGTTATACGAAGCATCTATCCTGGTCGAAGGAGGAAGAGGAGCAATAACAATAGTATTAGTAAAGGAAGAGGGAAAGGAAAGAAGGAATTTCGAATTTTGAAATTTTAGCGAGGAAGTTGCCTATCGGTATTTTTATTTCATTTTATCGATACATAATGCCAAAATAACAGATATGATGCACAAAAAAATGATTTCTAATAAAGGGCGACGCTTATAGGACGGAAAAATGATAGTTTTTTCGGGGACAGACGATTTTTGAAAGTGCATAAAAATACGATATTGGAGCAGGGTGGGTGGAAAGGAAGGAGAGAATAAGTGTAGGAGAAACGTCGTTATTATCCTCCTCTTTAGTTACGTTAATAACGACAAGAATGATGATGAAAAAGAGTAAAAAACGACAGTGAAAAATAACAATTCGCCGTTAGCAGAAAACGACAACAGCAACAACAACAAAATATCTAAGTTACCGCTTCAATAAGTGTCAGTGAACAATCCGTTTTCTTTCCCGTTTCCGCTTGTTTATAGCAGTCGCCCGTTTTCTGTCAGGCGGAAGCAATTAGCGAAGGTAATGAGAGACTGTAATTAAAAGGATGGAGGGCGAGGGGGAGAGAGATGGAGAATCAGAAGTGAAGGATAGATAAAGAGGGGAAAGACAAGAAGCAGAGGAGAGAGAGGGAGAATTAATGTAGAGTAGGGAGAGGAGAGGGAGGGAGAGAGGAGAGAGAGGGAGAGGGAGAGAGAGAGAGGAGAGAGAGAGAGAGAGAGAGAGAGAGAGAGAGAGAGAGAATAAAGAAGAATGAAAAAGTAAGGTAAGGAGACGGAGGAGAAGACAGTGAAAAACAACAACAACCGAAAAAGGAGAGAAATGGGGAGAAGGAGTGAAGAGGAGGGGAGGGGGAGGTGTATTCACTTCAAATTTTCGGAGAAAAAAAAAAATCTTTGACAATAGTTGCTCTGACGAATATTTGTTAACAACTCCCTTATGCCCATCTCCCCTTCCTCCCCCGCCCCCCCTAATTTTCCCCCTGGCCCCTTATCACCCTTTCAGTTCTCATCATCCACCCTTTCTTC